CGAATGTTAGTTGATACGTGCTCGTCAATTACCATAGCTCGACCGTTCGCAAGCTCGTCCTTCTTAGTCCTATGTATCATTTTCTAGTGTTAGTCTCTGCTGAGTAAATATATAAGTGTATTATACTATATATAGTTATTATTTATTTCTGATGCTACATATATTTATTATATTGTACTATATATATATATTATATGTAAATAATATATATTAATTCATACTTATACGATGCGGAGTGCTCAGTTTAACCCTCTCCCAAAAATGATGACGAAACATGCAAATCTTAAATTGCGACGCTTACAGAAATTTATGAAAATACGTAACAAGTATGTTAAGCAGCGGAGGGAATATGTGGAATGGCTTGTAAGTTTATTGGCTTTCGGCCATTCTTCTTAGCCGAGTTGAGAACCTTTAAGTACGCCCTCGTATGATTATGTATATAGTAACATTTACTATCAAGTGCATCTTTGTCTAATCAGTTAATTTATAACGTGCTAAATAAAAAGAAATGTTACTTTCGTTTTAAGAATCCAATAGTCTCATTTTAGCAGTCATACAAACATCAATCTCCCATTTGAACTTTTAAATTCATTAAGACGAATTTATTCTCACAAATCTTATTTGAACTTTTGCTATTGTAAAACTAAACTAAATGATCTCTTCCTCATATCCCATGATGACATTGAAATCTCAAATTAGTAATCCTACGCTCATATCTCATGACGCAATAAACAACACAAATTGGTCTTCCTACCCTCATATTCCATGATGCCTACTAAGCTCAAATTAGTCTTTCTAACCTCATATCCCATGATGCCTACTAAGCTCAAATTAGTCTTTCTAACCTCATATCCCATGATGCCTACTAAGCTCAAATTAGTCTTCCTACCCTCATATCCCATGATCCTACTAAGCTCACATTAGACTTTCTATTCTCATATCACATGATGCCTACTAAGCTCAAATTAGTATTTCTACCCTCATATCTCATGATGCAATACTCAACACAATTTGATCTTCCTACCCTCATATCCCATGATGCCTACTAAACTCAAATTAGTCTTTCTACCCTCATATCCTTTCCTTTGCCATTGTCTTGTACTAAATTTCCTCCTACTGCCTCAATTCGCTTTATCCTCCACTAAACTGTTTAATAAATGCAAATAAAATAAATGAATATGTAATGTGCAAAAGTTATTTTTTGTCACATGTTAATGAAGCACTTAAAAAGACTTACTGATTTTCCTTTGGGGAGAGTTTCTTCTCAGTTAATTCGTTTACCTCTTTTTCAAATGTCTGCACAATCTTGTTCATGTCCATGTTCGACAAGAAGGTGAAAGCTGTGAGCAAAAACATAATAAGTAACATTAAATTATTTCATGTACAAAATAATTTAGTCTTGCTCAGAGCGAAATTGCTTTTGAATCATTACTTTGTGCTAATTTCTGATTGGTTTTATATTACAAATCGATTGATAAGAAGAAATATTTATTCTCTTTATATTCAAAATATATTCAGATAATAGAAAAAAAATTACAAATATACGCATATTTCTTTTACACGAAATAACTTGTTTATTCGACTGCTATGTTTCGGTTAACATCATTTCCAGATGTCCGTGTAAATTTCTTAGATTAGGTGTTGTCAGGACCGGTGCAAATGTTTCGTCCCAACCCTCACATAAACACTAGAATCTATGATACTGGCCAGCCTCCCACTCCGATCTATAAAACCTGGCCCCAAATCTATTACATTTCAATTTTCATTATATAATACAAATTTCATACTAAATATAAATTTTATTTTAACCTAATTATATACAATTATACATGTAATATAGATGAACAATTAAACTAGAAAAATTGCAAATAAATACAATGTTTCTAAATACATATTAGAAACATGTGATAATGGATCATCTTAAATACATCAACAATGTTTTGAGTCAATTTTTAACATCAACTTTGGTAGTTTTCTTGTTTAAAAGTTGAATAATTTTAACACGTTCAACATTATGGATAGGGAATATTGAATTTTATATAATATAAACAAATTCCAAATGACATCAAAATCTGTGAAAAATGTTCATTCTTTTATAATCAGTTGTGCATAGTTTAATTTGTAACGTATACAAATGTAGATAGAGAAAAGCAAATATTGATAAGACAGTCAGTGTCACAAATAACTTCCGGGAGCCCTAATCAGTCTAGGGACTCCGGCTGGGGAGTTCGGGGATACTACTCACCAGCACTGGGTGTTGTTACTATACTAAGATAGCTTAAATTAAACATCTTCATTCGTGATAATTTTCCTTTTCAATATAGAAACGAAGAATTATCATTGTACTTTAACTTATTCCTTTTATTCGAATTAATTTTCACATTCTGATAATCGATGTTATTATGGAAACGTTTCGCACAATTACTCTGTGTACATTTTTAAATCATCTTCATTATAGATTTTATTATAGAAATGAAGTTTAGGCCAACTATCTCTATTCTTTATCGTACAAGAGATGAGAACCCACCGTGATAATGAAAATATCGAACCCATCTGATATTGAATATAAAAATATTCAAAAGTTGTGGCGTACTGGATACAATAGGTTTTAAGTCAAGTGTAACCATGTTTGGTGGTCGTGAGTTCACTCTTTGGACCAGATGATGAAATAATAATCTTTGTTTTGGCAGGAATGGACAAGAACTAGCATCACAGGGACAAACATGACATACTAATAAAGAAATGCAAAATATGACTATATCAGCCCAAAAGATAGAGACCTGAAGAGGACCAGGCCGTACTTAACCGAAACTTCTTGTCTATAACAGCACCTATAAAAATAGATCAAATAAATCGAATAAATCATCGTTTTTATTGATTTATCACATCGTTTTAGCCGATGTAGTCTCCAGGCCTCAAATTCTGTCTGAATTTCACTCTTCAATGTTTCTTTCGGACTAGCATTTTCAACTTCATTGCTTTTATCGCGACGTTTCGGTCGATATATTCACCAGCTATCGTCAAGTATCTTCCACGGCGAGAATGAAGAAAGCTTACGTCACTCTTGTCCCTCGTTCCTTGTTATTCTGTTTTCCTTCTTCATGATTTGAACTTGCAACAGCTAATTTCTTCTTTTTATGGAGATCCACTGTTTCAAAGATAAAGTAACACATTTCTCCAAAATTCTCACATAAGGTAACATTTTACTTGTAAAACTATTTTAAGACTGTAAAACAAAGTGTCAGATCAGTTCTTGGATTGAAACCCTTGCGAAAAGCGTTAATGGATTTGAAAATACAATGACAAACGATCTTTTAGTTGCAAAGTTTAACTCCCGACACGGTTACTCTTAAGTATTAAAATTAGAATTTCCTTAGAATTGGTTCCCAATACAAGAATTAAACTCTTCATGTGGTTTGCTTATACATTTATTTTTTTTAACAAACTCATATGTACAGATTCTTTCAACTTGCTGACTTCCCCACTTTATTCGCCGTGTATTATTTTAATCTTATTTCAAAGAGGGAAGTGTTCTTGTTTCCTTCTCCACATTTTATTATGCCATAACTCAATTCTAGATTTCCTGTTGCAACTGTATGAGATGTTATATACGTCTTTATAGAAAAGAGGAAAAACGATGAAAGAGAAAGGAGAAATAACGCTAACCCCATTTATATAAATCCTAATTTCAATCACCCAATGTCGGTTATTAAGCATATCCCATCATCCGTTGAATGTTGTATCAACCACCACTCTTCTAACAAAGAATTATTCAATAAACACAAAATTGTTTATAACAAAATCCTTACTGACAATGGCTACAGATCTTCCCAAATTAAATCTGTGGAAAACTATAGTTACTCTAGAAAGGATAATAGAGGGAGGAAAACAATTTGGTATACACCTCCCTTCGATAAATTAGTCCGTACCAAATTGGAACACAAATTTTTAAACTTGATTAATAAGCATTTCCCTAAGGGTAGTAATTTAAGTCAAATCTCCAATCGTAATATCCTGAAAATCAGTTATAGCTGTACGAGAAATTTAGATAAAATTATTAAATCACACAACAATAAAATACTGAAAATTTATAACGACAATAAATGCAACCAAAACCCAAATTCTAGTATACCCCAGGTAACCGAACTATGTAATTGTAGAATTTCCGATCAATATCCACTATCAAACCAGTGCCTAACGAAATCGATTGTATATATCACATCAATCGAAATCCCTAATAATATTAAATTGTATATTGGGTCTACTAGAAATGCTTTTAAGTAACGATATTATAATCACATATCCTCTTTTACTAATACAAGCAAACGCAATATGAGATCACTACCTAAATACTTTTTGGAAACTGAAGAAAAAAAACACCTAAGATTAAATGGAAAATCCTCAAACAAGCCATAACTTGCAGATCTCTGAACGAAACTTGTTTTTTATGTCTGTAGGAAAAATATGTATTATTGAGCTTTTGAATAATAATCAATTATTAAATCAAAGATTTGAAACTACCGTTTTTGTAGGTACATTAAAGATCTAAAATTGCAACCTTGCTAAACTTTTAAATTTATAACTCACCTTCTTTATATATTTTCTACCTTTTTATATGTTTTCCTACTGATCTATCTTAGATTATAATCCTAAATTGTTTCTGCGCATTTATAATACTAACAAAAGTATCAGATTAATTGATTTACACCCATACTTATTCTACAAGTTATACAATTCGGCAGTAGGTCAAAATTTGTTTATAAAAAAAATTATATTATCATTCTATACGTTATATGTCTTTTTACTTATATCGCTTAATTAAATTTATTGTAAAAACTCCAAATAGCTTATGTATTTAACATACAAAAAAAATTCCATTTAAATGACCATTTATTAATTTACATACAACGTTTCTTCCAGAACAAATAACAGAAACTTCAGCATACATCTGCGTAATTAAGCTCTCGTTTTAAGATCCCCGGCCATTCATCGAAAAAAAAATGCATCTTCACCTATACTTATTTCTCCTCTCTCTCTCTCTCTCTCTCTCTCTCTCTCTCTCTCTCTCTTCTTACCCTAGTCAGTTTTCTCTTAAGGTGTCTCTCCCACCTTTTTTTCCATAAGCGGCTCGCTTGTAAATAGAATTGTTCATATGCATTATTGGTTTCCACCAGTCGAGATGCAGCCGCATCGAAACAAGAATGCATCTTTGTAGTGAGCAAAAATGGATATATATATATATATATATATATATATATATATATATATATATGCCCTCAATGTCCACTTTTATATATATATATATACATACATATATATATATATATATATATATATATATATATATAACATATAACGAGACAATTTATAATGAAAACTAAATACAAACACACGCATATATATATATGTGTGTGTGTGTGTGTGTGTGTGTGTGTGTGTGTGCGTGTGTGTGTGTATGTGAGTGAGTGAGTGAGTGAGTGGACACTGAGGACTCTCACATGTATGTGTATATGTGCGTACAGTTTGCGTTATTTGAAGCACATAAATTGTCCCGTTATATTTTAGCTTCACTTGCCCATATTTGATGATCGCCCCTTTAAACTTACTAGCGACCTATGTAACCACTGAAGTATGGATGACCAAAACTGACAAAACCTATATTTATAACATTTAGATAGCATCATATGATAGACAAAACATCAGTTTTTAGTATGAATTGCTTTTCTCTTTTTCGCTATGCTTGTGGGTGGGAGGCGGTGAGATGGCGTTGGCGTGTACGCTCATGCTCCCGTGTGTGTATGTAAACGTTGTAATAAAAACTTTTGTTTTTTTTTATCTTAATGATAATCTACAAAGATTCGAATTGAGTGATCATACGAGGAGAATGTAATAATTAGACAGAAATCTCTGTAATTAGTCCTTCGATGTTTGGGGAGAAGGAAGATTCTGTTGGACATTCGCGATAACATTTTCGGCGGTGCTGATTCATTACTCAATTCACCTGACTATGTCTTCAGACCTCACGCTTCATTTCACTTATGGCAAAACCTTGTCTTCTCCCTCCTCCCGATTTCTTTTCTTCTTTTAGCTTTCTTTATTCCGACTTTCCTCCTCATCTGTTTTTTTTCTTCTCTTTCTTTTTCGAATTATCTTTATTTTTATTTCTTCATATTGCATTTTCCAGTTCTTTTTTCTTCTTTATACTTATTCTCTTTTCCCTTTCGTTTTTTTTCTTTTCTTTTGTTTATTTCTTTTATTCTTCTTTCTTTAACTTTCATTCTTCTTTTTGCCTTTTATTTTTCCTTACCATTTTCTCGCCATTCTTCTTCATCTTTTCCTTCTCTTTATTAGTTCTTTTCCCTTTTTTTCTCTCTTTTTTATTCTTCTCCGCCAGTTTGCTTCTTTCCTTTCATCTTCTATTTTCTTCTCTCACTTTATCTTTCTTCTATTTTTATCTCTTTTTCATTCTATGTCATCTTCTTTCTCTCTCATTTTCTATTTTCTTCTTCATTTGTTCCTTTTTTTTCACATTTCATTTTTCCTTCCTTCGATCACGACACTCTTTCTCTTTACATTCATCTTCATTAGATTTTTTCATACATTTTTCTCCTTCAAATATGGCTGCTGATTTCCTTCCCAAGATATAATTATCAGCATCTTCTAATTCCGTGACGTCTTTTATTCTGTCCGTTATACATTAAAAAAAAAACAATTCCCTTTTATTCACAGAGATTGGCCCATTCAACTATTTTTAATTTGTATTTAACAGTAGAAGAAAATTTCTAAACTAAAAAAAATATATATAAATTTTGTGGGGGTGCTTCTTTCACATTCTTTTCTTCTGAGACCCTGTATTTTCATTATTCCATCGATTTTCAAGTTTCTGTTTTCCTCTTTATTGTGGAACATAGCTTTTCGGCTTTTTTACTCTTCGGCCTTCTTCATGTTTCACTTCCACAACTAAATCCCACGGGATATATGCTGAAAACGTGATACTTTCAAGCTATGTATCAAATAATCGGAATTATAAACACGCTCTGTGCATTTGACCGTGGGACAACGGTTAGCAAACTAATCTACCATAACCAGGAGCGCAATGAATCCAATTCTCACTGGGTGCCTCATAGTTGTATCTCTGCGTAAGTCAGCAAAGATTAAGCTTAGTAAATCACTATTATAAAGGCTGTAGCACCATGTTTAAGAAGTTGGACTCAAAAATTAATTAAGGTATATTTTGGTAGCAAGTATTCATCCATAGAAGTTTGATTATATTTTAATGAACCAATAAGTTCCGTCTGTTTACTTTTTATTATACTTTTCCAACTTTCGTTGAGTATTATATTCGAAGTTGTAGATAAACTGTCCGAAGTTCATATTTTCTACTTTCGCAGTCATTATCAAGAACCGATGTGGTGCCTGTGTGGTAGTTTTAACTTCTTTGTCTGTATCTTGGTATTCATTCGAACGCCTGTCGTTTGAAATGGTCAAACGTGACCTCATGTGTAACTGCGAGGCAGTACAAAAAGAATGCGATTTATTTTATTTTAATTTATCAATTATTTATTTGTTAATTTTTAATATTAATATGATATGTGCGTACATCAATTTTAAGATACCATCTCCTGTGCTGATTGATATTTAATGTGGACTTTTTATTTTGTATAATAATAGCTTCTAGAGTCTTGATTCTTTCTATTCAACTGGTGCTATAAAGAAGTTTGACGTTGTCAACTAATATTTGTCTTATGTTGATATTTACATTTTGACCTTTCATGATGTGTTGTTCGATGTGTACACGGATTAAAAAAGAAAAAAATGAGGGATTGTTTGCGGTATTTTTATAAGAATTTAGAAAGAGAAAAATATCTTATATGAGGTGAAAGTTCAAAAACGGGAGATCCCGGGAATATTTATATCAGAGCAATTCGGAAAGAATTTAAAGAAAAAATATGTAAAGCGTTTACTATCATTCACATATGAAAAAATATGAAAAAGGAATAACGTATATGAAAAATATAGGAATAACACCATGTTGTCAAAATAGACATGAGAATTAAAAGTGAAAGAGAAAACACCGTTCAAAGAATGGTTTATAATAAAGAGAATCACAGACGAAAAAAAATGCAATCTATTTATTGCGAAGAAACGGAAAATAATACAATTCAAGAAAGTGGGATTGTTTAATGAACAAAAAAAAATAAATTAAATTGAACTATCGGCACGCTGATACATTCATTTAAAAATCGTGAAAAACATAAGAACAATTGATCTAGGGTGAGTTCAAAATAAACAAGAGCCCATTTTGAAAAATCACTGAGCGGAAAAGATGCTGCAAATAAATATAAAATATTATTTTTATGCATATACCGGTTGTAACAGCAAAATTGCCCAAATCGTTTAACAGCGTTGGATAATTGACCATCCCACAAAACATTTTATATCTAAAATAACATAAACTAATTGATTTTCTTTTTTTCCAGATTTTCAGATAAGACGTCTAGCCATCTTGACACCATTTTTTGTAAGAATCACTGAAAATCCCTTTGAGTTATTCAGCTAGAAAGAGAACAGGTTAAAATCGCTTTGTGTCAGCCCCACTATGTGTTCCCAACTGAGCAATGGTGAGAGAAAAAGATTATTCGGGCCTTTAGTAATGGTACTAACGTTCATACTCTGGCTTCCATCTTCAAAATCCATTCGAGAAGCATCAAGAGAAAGTTTTAAAATGTGGGAACAATAGAGAGGAAAATTGGATCAGGAGGTCACAACAACAAGAGGGATCATCATTTCAACTTAGAGCTGAATGCATTCTTATTGTTTAAAGTATAGACCAATAGTGTTATAAAAACCTCGGAGAATTCCAGTAAGATATCTTTAATCATTTATAAGATTCAACGGTTCAAAGCTTAATCTAACAATTGGACAATTTTGCTGTTACAGGATTTGAACAATTTTGCTGTTACAAACGGTATTCAAATCAATATCGTTTCTTACCTTCTTCATCTCTTGCGTATCTATCTGCTTGGCAGACAGTCACCAGAAGCAGAAAAGTAAATATTTTCATGTTTGTAGAGCCGAAGAGTAAGGTTTTAGCAAAACTGATTATTTTGTAGAAGAAAAAAAAGAAGTGTGTGTTGTACGCACGGAAGACACCGCTGTTATGTTTCCAAAACACTGTTTTCGTCTTGATCCTGTTACTTGTCTTGAACTGTGAGCTTTTTCAACTGGATATATACTAAATAAAAGACATAATGCAGAATAACAACTCTTATGTCGATAGATGAAGGTATATATATATATATATATATATATATATATATATATATATATATATATATATATATATTTCTTCTACGTCTACGTAGTCTTTTCTTTGTTTTTTTTTAAATAAAAGAAATGATACTACTACAACTACTACTACGACTACTATTGTTGTTGTTGTTGTTGTTGTTATAACAATTTATTAATTAAAGAAGGGATTATGTTTGACCTACGCTATATTCTGGGTTAAGATGAAGAAAGTGTCCTTGATTAAACTGGTTGGGCTATTAATCCCTATAATGGATTTAGTTGATAATAAAATCTGAATTGTACCTAAGCAAAACAGGTTTATCCTTTCTTAATAGCATTTGTAACAAAAAAGACAAAAGACAAACGTACTGAAGTTTTATGTCATATCAGTCCTCCTACATGGCAACAAATGCTGAATAATTTCTACAGAGATGAAGATATTTGAAGGAACAGAAAGGTGAAAGAGAAAGATGTTTAGAATACCATGGAATGAGCATAGAAACCAATAAAAATAAATTAGATACTTATACCTAGAATTAAAAAGTCACAGTTGAAAACTCTCGAAATCATTATGAGGAAAGTGGGCTTTTAGAATTTGACACTGACATGACATATTGTGTATTGGTTGGCAGAACAGGTCTTAGGAGAGATGGCAATATTAGATATTTATAATAAAAAAAGACAGTTGAAATTTCTGAGGCTAATAATGAGGAAAGAAGGCTTGGAGCATTTAACACTCACAAGGCATCCTAAAGGCAAACAAATGTGGGTGGAGGGGTAAAAGCGAATAGCCTATCTAAGTAGTTTATGTAAATGGATGGCACAGTAAGGACTTAGAATAGGCAGGAAGTTCTGGAGAGCCATGATCGTCTACATTCTGAGGAGACACAGAAAAGCAGAAAAAGATCTATTGCAATATTTTTAATCTTTTTCGTAGTCGCATTTGTGTTCGTCTTATCACTGTGTTGTCTCTACTCAGGTTCGATCGCAATCCTCTTTGGGGCGCTAAAACGTCAAATAGAATCTAATAAGAAAAACATAAGTGAACTATCCCTCATATGCACAACCGGCTTACGGCCATATCACGTTGAAATACCCATTCACGTACGAAAGTTAAGTAACGTCTAGCTAGTTACCTGGATTAGAAACACAGAGAGAGACCTAAAAGTGTGGGGGCACTCTCTGAGGCTAAAGAAGCCTTTCCCCAAGTCCGAATGGTGGAACTTTGAACACTAGACTTAAAGTGGGGAGGGTCCCTGTTATTCTCTATCCCACATTATACAGGGCTCTCAAACTAACTTATCCAACGGACGTCGACGGCATTGTTCTAGATCACGACAGATATGGAGACAGGAAAAGCCATTGTGATCCTTTCGCCCGCAGATTTCCGTCCAGTCTATGACTAAGCAATCCAACTTGAAAAACGTTTCTCAAAGCCAGTTTCAATGTAAGGGGATTGAGGGATCGCGAGTAAGGCTGCTCGCCTACTTCGTGATCTCCTGTCCTTCAGCGTAGATGTAACTGCGATCCAGGAAACCCACTTTGTTTGCGAGGTTGTTGCTCGTGTGCTGTCTAGCGACTATTTTGTCTATTCAGCATACGGGGACCAGTCGGATAGAAGTGTTACCTTACTGATTAAATGTACCTTAGGTGCGAGAGTGGACCTTGTCCATGTCGATGTTATCGTGACCGATATTGCTGGGAATAATAGTTCGTTTCGAGTCGTTGAGGTTTATGCGCCCAACGATCACGAGAAGCGTGTCTCGTTTTTTCAGGAGATAGGGCCGTTCCTGGTTGAGTCTTCGCGCTTAGTATTAGTGGGGGACTGGACTGCTATTCTGGACCCCAACATAGACTGTGGCGGGGAGCTAGCGGGAGGTCATTGGGTGATCGTAGCTTGGTTTATCTGATCGGAGAGTTTGATCTTGACGATAGATACCGGGTCGATCACCCTAGGCGGGTGATGTGGACGTGGGCAAGTAAGTGACTGTCTACCCTGGTAGCCAGATACCTGAATAGAATGTTCGTGAGAAGGGCCAATATTGACTTGCTAGGTTGTCCCACGTTCCACTGGTGAGGATATTCCGACTATACGTCAAACAAGATGTCTAACGAAGCTGTGAAAATGGGCGCACAATTGCGCAAGGAAGAGATCTGTCGAGGTTTCGATCGATACATTCGTGGGGTTAAAACTTCGAGGGGCGTACTCTGGGGGCGACTGACGACATGTGCGAGGCGTTTCGGCGGCATTTCGAGAGCCGGTTTACCAAGGAGCCTGGTTTCAGTGGCGATGAGTTTCGTAGCTATTTGACTGACTCTCCTCGGCTTTCGCCGGCTGAAAAAGCTAGCTGTGAGGGTGAGATCACGGAGGGCGAAGTCTATTTGGCATTTGGCGGGTCTCCGTGACTTGATGGTTTACCCTATGGATTGTACTTGAAGCTGTCGCACATCTTTGTGCCGATTTTGACTGCCTTGTTCAATAACTGGTTGTGGCAGGGTTCCATCGAAAGTTTCTCTCCCTTCTCCCTCACCCCAGAAAGATGTTCTGGGGAAAAAAGACGAACAGAGAAACAGTTGGAGGAGGTTAAAACCTAGCAGCAGCAGCAGAGCAAAGACCAACCACAGCAGCAGAAGCGGTCCAAGCAGTACCACCACTAGCAGCAACAACAACAACAACAAAAGCTCAAAGACCAGCCCAAACTGTCTCAACAGGAACAGCAGCAGCGGCTGCAACAACAGCAGACACAGTTGTTGCAACTGGATAGCGACATGGAGACTGAAAGAATGCTGCCAACGGTCCTCCGCATTGAAAAGGGTGAGGAATGAGGGGGAGTAGGAAGGAGAGGAGAAGCAAAAAAGTCTGACCGAAGCAGAGCGGAGTAATCGGCTGACATAGGCCAGAACAAATCTACCCCTACTTCGCCAGCAAAAACCAAACATCCAGAAGACAAAGGTAAGGCAAGTAGCCTCTCCCCTTCCCCGTCTAGGACTCTGACTTCTCCTTCTCCTTCTCCTCCCAATCCATCCCCCAACCAATCCCAAAAAAGAAAAAGCCGTTCCCCAGTGGGGAGAAAAGTTTTAGTATTGACAGTCAGGCCCTTCTTCTGCTCAAAGAAAGGCTCTTTTAAAAGACTTCTTTTTAGGTCTACTTGTGTCGATGGGAAGTCGACAGATGATCCTAGACATTTTCCACAAGCCTCTGGAGTGATTACACTGATCCGGGGGTAATTTAAAAGTCTGGGAGTATTTGGCCATTGCCAAAGAAGCCTTTCCCAATCTGACCTTAAAAAGTTATCGCAATTGTGTGCTGGGAGGGAACCCGTTCGGCTCCACACCTCTTTATATAGGGCGCTTAAGTTAACCTTCCCGACATACGTCGGCGGTATTGCAGGGACGGCGGTATTGCATTACGACCGACATCGGAACGGGAAGCCTTGGACAATCCGTCGGGTCTTGACGCCCATAGATTTCCGTCCAATCTGCGTCGAAGGGAATCGGGCTTAAATTATGTTTATCAAGCTAGCCAGCCTGAATATGAGGGGCTTGAGAGATCGGGGTAAGGCTGCCCGCCTGTTTTGTGATCTCTGCCCCTTTGGAGTGGATGTAGCTGCGATCCAGGAAACACTTTATTTGCGATCTTGATGCTAGTGTGCTGTCAAGCGACTTCGTTGTTTATTCAGTATACGAAGACTAGCAGGCCGGAGGTGTTTCCTTAGTTAAACTTCCACTAGATGCGAAGGTGGATCTTGTTCATGTCGATGCGAGGGGCCTGTTGATTGTGTTTGATATTGCCGTGAGCAGTGGTTCGTTTCGGGTCGTTGCGGTTTATGCGCCCAACAACCAGGGGGAGGGTGCCGACCTTTTCTGTCAGTTGGGGCCGTTCCTAGTTCATTCGTCGCGCTTAATGGGGACGGGAATGCCACCTTGGACTCCAAGATAGGGGCGGGATGCTGGCGGGAAGGCACCGAGCGATCGTAGTCTGGTGAATCTGATCAGCGACATTGGGCTCGATAAGGACCAGTTCGATCATCCGTGGGAGGAGATGTGGATGTGGGCCCGTAATTGGCCGTCTCTCCAGGTAGCCACATACCTGGACAGAATGTTAGTGAGAAGGGTCGATTTAGATTTACTAGATTGTCCCACGTTCCACCGGCTCGACTATTCGGATCATAGACTCGTCTGTGCCTGGATGGTGTTAGGTACTAGGCATAGAATGGCTGGACACTGGAAGTTCAATCTGTCCTTACTGCAACAGCTGACTAGATTATGGCAGCGGGAATTAATGGGGGCGGTTATTGGGAGTATGTTGTGATAGTGGGGGGGGGCTTAAGGATAGAATTAGGTCCTTCACCACTCGCTCTAGATAGCCTAAAAGGTGAAGACTCTACAGGATAGTCTGTCGCGGGCGGTGGATGGTGGGACCTAGAGATAGCTGTAGCTAGGCAGGCCCTGAGGCGTAAGGCTAGCAAGCGATACCAGGGTCAGGTAGTTAGACATAGGTTAAGCAAGATTTCTAACGAAGCCGTGAACATGGGCGCAGAATAGCGCAAGGAAGAGATCCGTCGAGGTTCCAATCGATACATTCGCGAGATCATTTACCCTAGGGCGGGGGGAGGCATCCCTGCGTTCGACCAAGTACATTTGTGAGGCGTTTCAGCGGCATTTCGAGAGCAGCTGTTTTACCAAGGTGCCTAGTCTCAGTGCCGACGTGTTTCGCAGCTATTTGGCTGACTTTCCTCGGCTTTCGCCGATTGAAGCGGCTACACGCGAAGGTGAGATCACGGAGGGCGAAGTCTGCTTGGTATTGAAGAAGGTCAGCAGAGGCAAGTCTCCGGTACTTGATGGTCTACCCTACGAAATGTACTTGAGTCTGTCTCACATCTTTGTCCCCATTTTGACAGTGGTGTTCAACAACTGGTTCCGACAGGGATCCATCCTGTACCGGATTTCTAGGGGTGTGATCACGCTGTTCAAAAAGGGAAAGGGTGTTGAGTGGGATTTAGATGATTATAGATCCATAACTCTGCTAAATACAGAGTTAAAGATTTGGGCCAAGATCATGACGGAGAGGTTGCAGTCAGTTCTCGCGAACTTATTGGGACCAGAACAGACTTGTGCTGTGAAAAGACGAACAATTCAAAGCAACCTGCATTTGATCCGCACGATCATAGATGGCGTAAAAGACGACAAGCAAACCAATCTTTGGATCAGTCCAAGGCATTTGTCAGGGTTGACCATCAGTACCTGGCGGCAGTCCTGCAAACCGCCGGATTCAAACGCGACTTCTGCAAGTGGATTAGCCTCCTGTATCGTTCCTCCAGTGCTGTGGTACGGGTGAACGGAAGGCGGTCGAGTGCTTTTGCGCTGGCTCGGTTGGTTCGACAGTGGTGACGACTGTCGCCCTTACTTTACGCTTAGGCGTTGGGGCCCTTCCTTCACCGGCTGAGAGACAGGACGTGCAGTCCGGCCCTACGTGGAATCGCTGTTTTCCCTGGTAGTGCCCGAGGTAGGGTTTCTGCGTACGTCGATGACGTATCCATCTTCGTGTCGTGCCTCGGCGGCATAATGGTGATGCAGAAGTTGCTTGAACGGAATGAGAAGGTGACGGGGGCTAAGATTAACCGCAACAAGTCTTCCGGTTTGCGGTTAAGTGCCTGGCAGAAGGTCGCGCTTCCGGGGCCATTCGGCTGGACTGATGGACCGTCCGCATCCTTGGACGTGGTTCGGGCTCGGACTCCTGATCAGAAGTACAGGCAAAGATTTGAGCGTTGGTTCGGACTTGGGGATTGTCCTTAAAAGGTAGGGCTGAGGCGTGTGCCACTTACGTCTTGCCCTTCATCCTTCACCGCTTGACTGTACTTCCACTTTACTGAAAATGTATGGAGGCGATCGAGCGTTTGTTGATCACACTCATGTTGGGTGGTTGCAAACATTGAGTCCGTAAAGAAGCCTGTTACGAGCATCCGTGTCATAGGGATGGGGGACATCGTCATGCCTCGAGGTTGACTTTCCCACGCCCCGTTTTGACAGAGGACTCGATTTTGGCGCTGTGTGTTAGGGACGCCTTCCCTAGCTTTACCATCACTCCCCCCATTTCTTGGGGTAAGCGCAGTCGTGGAGGGATGTCGAGTTTCCTCAGCGAGTGTCGGCCGGCCTTGAAGGTCATTGCTCGGTCCAGTGACTTTTCTCCGTCTCGGAGACTATTGTATCATGAATTAGTGGAGGGGGTCGTGAAGGATCCTGTGTGATTGGCTCGGCTTGTCGGCATCAGAGTTGCTCTCCTTTTGGTCTTGGGCATCAGTGGCGGATTATCTCAGCAACCCTGAGTTTTCGCTTAGCTGGCGATTGATTCGGAACGTGCTATCTCCCAATGGCACACTCTTCTGATGGGGTGGGACAGATTTGCCAGATTGTCATTGGTGTCACCTTGGTTTAGAGGAAACGGCTTCGCACGCCTTCTAAAAACTCCTCAGGTGCACCCTTCCTGGGATTATGTCGACGAGTTGACAGCTCGTATTGCTCCGGATCGGCTCATGTCCATCGATCTCGCGTACGCGTATGAGGATGTGTCGCCCCTGTTCTCCGAGGTAAAACGGATGGTGTTTTTTTGCGTTGCTAGTCGTAGCAAGAATGCTGGTGTGGATGTCGCGAAAGGAGGGAATCTTGCGAAATGAACGTTATTCACACCAGGATCTGATTGTTTTCTTTAACCATCAGCTTAGGGTGAAAATCAGATCGGATCGAAAGCCTTTGATTTCGATAAATTTCAACGAAAGGTGGGTAACTGGGGCGAGCCTGGTTCGTGTGGACGGAGCTAGCCTTGATTTTCTTTTTTAAGTCCCCTTAACGCAACGGGGCGGCTTCCTGTTGCCCCCCCCCGGTTAAGTTAGACACTATTTTATTTTCCTAGTTAATGTGAATAATTCTTGTTCACGGCCTGTTCCCGACATTTTCTTCTGTTATGATTCATGTCGAGATTCCTATTTTCTCCAGTTTATTTTTGTCTCCTTTTTTTCATCTCGGCTGGGTCAGCCTTTGATTTTTCCCATTCCGTCAGTTATTTTCCGCCCCGCCCTCTTACATTAATGAGTGTGCTGCTTGATTCTATCTATCGATAGAATACAGCGGTCACTCTTATTATTTTGAGGGGTGGACGGTTCCTACTAACATTGTTTTGTTTTTGTTTTATCTTTGGTTTATATTTTGAGTTTCTTGTCTGGATTCATCTCCCCTCCCCCATCATTTCATATTTCATGAAATTTTTATATATTTATGAACATTACACATTTTTACACCATGGGGTGTTTTGTAGGTCCCTTGTGGCTATGTGGTATTGTGGTACATTTAGGATTGGGAGGTGATGGACAAGTTCTTGTGCTGATTGAGCATATTGTATTGAATGAATGGCTCGTGATTATGCTTAACTAGGACTAGGATAATGAGTGAAAGACCAGCCTTTCCCCACTTCCCCTTCGGCCTCATGCCAAAATTTTGTATTTTAAAAAACAAATATATTTCTACTCTATCCTCTATTGCTATACAGACTGCTATTCTCTACTCTATTCACTATACTATTCCTCCATTCAGATTACTATACGGTTGTTACTATTCGAGCAAGTACTATTAGTGCGACTGTTATTCGAAGGCATCTGACACCAGTATTGTCCGACGACGTTACTATAGTTGTATCTGCGATTACAAAGTCTCTACTACAACGAGCATTTACGAAAATGACAACGAGTATTCGTTGGCATCACAAAAGTGGCAACGAGTGTTCGTTGACATCACAAAAGTGACAAAGGACAGGAAATTGTGGAGAGTCGCAATCGCCTATATCCCAAAAGAACAAGCACATAAAGAAGAAACCTTATCATACCCAATTCGACA